ACATAAGCGAAAACATCTTCTCATTGACAATCACACCAACAAAGATAATCATGGGGTGCCTCCCACAAAGCTTTTCTTTAACATCGCTAGCCTGACAAAGGATCCCTCCCGGGTCAAAAATCCATTTAAGTAATCTTTGATCAATCTCCCAATCTTTTTCAAATCCTAGGATTCCTACTAAAATTTCGAATTTTAGTTTTTCTATCATCTTTTCTTTTTCAGATTAGTTTAGATTGGTGTTCTTCATGTTTCTCTTTAGATCCAATATTCTCTTAATGATTTTTGCAATTTACATATTAATATCATCCTATAACAAATGGATCTCTATATGTTAATTCAAGCTCTCCAAAATTTGGGATCAGATTCTCTCAAGATGATTCAAATTCTAGATAAAATTCTATTAGGTTACTCTTTTATCTCAAGTTATTTTTTAACTCTTCCCCTTTTGGCTGAGGAAATGGTGGAGGTGGTCTATCTATATTTATCTTAGTTGATGAAATAGGTTTTTCTAATTCCTTAAGAATTTTTTCCTTTAGTCTTTTAATCTCCTTTTTCTCTTTTCTCAACTCAACATTCTTTTGAACCATATCCTCTAATTCTTTTCCATTTCTTAGTTGAATTGCTTTATCTTGCCCATCGTTCTTCTCCTTAGGGTTTTTCTTAGGGTCACTGGGTAAAAACTTTGGAAGATGATTGTTAATTGAATTAACAATCAACTCCAGCTGGTTTTTTATATTCTTTATTGCAACCCTTTGACTTCCCAGCCGAATCTCCATTGAATAACAAACTCTTCTGACAATAACTCCTTCTCATTCTGTGAGTTGAAGTTAAATATTTGAGGAAAAGAAAGTTCAACTTTAAAATTGTCGTGATTATTCCAATTACATGTTTGATTAAATTGATTATCTCCACACAATTGGTTTCTTCATCCAAAATTGTTATTCTAGTTAAAGTTGGACTGATTCTCCCAACATGGATTGTAATAATCGGAATAAGAATTGTGTATCTCAGGGTTAGTTTCAAAATAGTTAGTCTCAATCAATTGTCCAAATGAATTATCCTTAATAGGGGGGTTGGGGATGGGAGGGGCATCCTTGAGGATAAATTTCTACATAATGATCTAACTTTCTCATAATATCTGCAGCCTAAAAATCTAAAATAGTCAGCATATCAATTTCATGATAATTCATTATACTCTTGGGGTTTAGTGCATTGAAGCTACTAGCATCATAATCGAAATCTGAATATTCATTATCTAGTTGACCTGCTATTTCAATAATAAATTCATGTAGTCTTCCTGATTCATAATCCTCCTAACAGTTCTCTCCAGTTATGATTTGTAAGGTTCAAGGTCTACAGCTCCTGAACTACACATAAAAATCTAAGGACTTAACTAATAGGACAGATATCCAGTACTTTAAGCACTCAAAAATATTTTTAGTAATTTGAATTTTCTTTAAACACACTAAATAATAACACTACAATTTCTAAATCTAAGTCTTACAGGTTCAACTAAAATTATCTAAAAGTTCATGTCGTAGTTTCCCCAGCAATGACGCCAAAAACTTGACTAGACCCGCAATTACACAGTAATTTAGTTTCCTGGCAAAAAACTTGGCCTAGTTTTTTTAGGCAGTTAGTGTGAAAAATGGATATGTTATAGAATTTAGAATTGATTTATATTTTGCAGACTAGGGGTTCTACGCAATTATACGTATCGTTTCAACTAATATAAGGCTTTCTTTAAATACCTCAGTATCGATCCCACAGGGAAGCGAGATAAGAAATCCCTTAGGCTAATTCAAATCTACTACTATCAGGTCTTAGTTTTGGAATTTTAAAACAGTTTGATTTTCTTAAATTCACTAATTTACTCTAGACTTAAAGTTAACAAAATTAAATTAAAAACGCTAATCTAGGGAGACTGGTTAAATTTTGGGAAGTTCTTCTATAATCAAAATCTTTTTCCCTTTACAATGAGATCTTAATTAGTGTAGGAATCAAATGTTTAAAAGTTAACAAATATAGTTTTGCGACAAATAGTAACATACCTATTCTTTACCCTCTCCCGAGTGTATAAAGAACATTGGTTAATCTAAAGTAAAGTTTTGAATTCTCTCAAGAAATGATGGGTAAGTTCTCGCCTTTCATTTCTAGATTACCCACTATGCCCTCTCTATATGACTAACCGGCTCTATGGTTCCAAACTCTAGACCAAATTGGTAGGAATCTAGTTTGTCACCCTAAAAACAAAAATTCTACGCCCACCAAAACTTATCTCCCTATTTATTTGCACTAACCCATTGATTACCTTCTCACCCATGAAATTAATGTGATTATTACTAGTTGAGGAACACATAGCCTTCTCGGGCCATTATGAATTCACAAAAAATTTTAGCATACCAATTGATCAGATCTAATATGTAGATTAAGTGTGAAGTAATGAATCATCACATGTATGGAGTACGAGAAATCTTATACAAATCAAATCCTACACATGATTAAATCTTATCACAATGAGAAAGAGTAAGGAAAACTACTCACTAAGCATGGAGAAAATACTTGGATTCTTCATTGCAAATGACATTGAAATCACACAACTATATTGCAATAATTTAAAGAAAATACAAAAAAACTCCAAGACCTATCTTTATAGAAGATTTCACGCCCTCTTTGCATAGTAAATAGCAATCCCTTACACTTCTTCCAAAGTCCCAAAAGTCACCAACACATAGAAAAACACTTAACCCTTTCACACACACACTCACACCTCCTCCCTTCTTCTACCCCCAAAAAGGCCCCTTTTGGGCGCCAAAAGACTCTCTTTAAATAATCCACAAAATCTCCCAAGATTCACTTTATGTGCCCCTTCAAAATTGTCCAAACCCATTGCACTTTCTAGAAGAAAACCATTTCTGATGCCTAAGCACCAGAATGTGGCGCCATGGTGCCATAAATGGGTCCTAGATGCCAGAATATGGTGCCAAGTTATTTTTGACCCTTGCTCAAATTGCCATCAAGTTGCTTCTTTTTTGCTCCATTTTCTCCAAAACTCCATCTCTTGAATGCATTAAACATGACAAATTAACTAAATTTAATCTAAACTGATTTTTTTTTCATGTAAGTTGTTTTAGTGCTTGCCTAATCACATTTAATTAATATAACTTGAAATAAATTAGAATAATTGATATCAATGATGTCGTTCAACTAGCCATAATAAAAGAAATTACCAGCTTCCGTAGTATTAACAATGCCATAATTTTGATATCTTTTTTTTATCGTCGTATGCTTTGGTATACTCATTTATAAAATATTCTTTGTCTTTATGAGCAAGTTTGTTAAGGTCCTTTGCAAGTGTGTCTCTTTTGTTGCTCGTCAGCAATAAAAGCTTCTATATTAGAGATGATATTATCACAATGTCAAGGAACATTTCAATGAGCATGAATTAAGGATATGTCATCTAAGGAAAATGATGTTATCTAACCCAATGAAATACATCAACTACAAAATTTATAATATATTTTTTCTTCATCTAATATTCCCACAAACATATGGGTTCTTTGAAACCCCTCCAAATATCTTGAACAAAAACGTGTACTCTCCTCAACTATATATCTCTCTGCAATTGAGCCCTCAGCTACAAATTTCTTCTTAAAGATTGACGCAAAGCAAATAGACTAGACCTAAAAGCTCATGAGCTAATGATGCAACCATTCTTCTTTTCAAATAAGATACCTTCGCTGATCTCATTGTGCACTGCCCCTGAATTTTTCTGATCAATGCCATCGACATTGGTGGAAGATGAAACTTCAGCGTCGTAAAAACAACCAACAGATAAGCCACTCTCCTTAGCGAGTTTCATCTTCTCGAGTGACAAGTTGTTCTCTTTTAATGTCTTACTCATATTAAAGAGTAAATTGTCACGATCAAAAGTAATCATTTTCATTTTTAGCTTCTGCACTCAATAACAAATAGAAATAAATATATTTAGCATGCAAAAAATATCGTAGCTCTCTGATCTAAAAGTACAAAAAATCATAAATACTCAATATATTCACCGTTCAACCGCGACAATCAAACTTTGAAGAGAGTTATATTTCTCTATCTCATTGAGAATTGTGCAACCATTTGTCTGCCGTATAAAATATTTATGCATAGAAAAAAATGTACAACATACATTCACACTTATAACTCATAATTTAATTTTAAAATCAAGCACCTAAAACATCACATCATCTTCGGAGCTAATTGACCGATGTAATAAAACATAATTAGGATCTGTCAAATTGCAAACTACATCAAATATAAGCTTAGACCTATCTCTTCTCCTAACTTTGAAAATCAAGTAATCTCTATTTTGCTAGTTCTCAATAAAAAATTATGGCAAGCACGCCACTTTACTTTCAGCAACACCTCCGAAATTCCTCTTGGTCTCCTTCGTTGTAGTAAAGTTTGATTGCTTACTCTTAACTGACAATGACAATATTTTGATGTCATAATCTGCATACATGTTCATCAACTGATGTAATTGATGCTCCGTATGAGTGTGACGATCTGGGGCTTTGTAGTTACACTATAAATATCACACCAGGTAAGTGTTGGGCATCCAAAATACTTGCCACTTACTCTTCCAAAAAATCCTATTTAACTTCATGCATGATGTGTCACTCTACATTGCCTTGCTTCTTTATATAGATTATGTAAGCTAAATTTCCATTATAGGACCATAAATAACCGTAGTGTGTAAGGTAGGAGTGCTCAAAAAGTAAGGTTGAAATCTCTAGAAAGATTTCCAGGAGAATTCCAGACAATCAAAGTGGTACAATTTGAGTCAAAGTGGTCTACAATTACTATAATGGCGTTTCTTAATTATCTTGAGTTGGGCTTCAAGTTCATTTTTGTTTTTCAGCGAGATTGAGAGACACTAACACGGGTTTTGAAATACATTAAATTCTTGAAATTCTAGAATATCATTTAAAGTCTTGAAATTCATTGCAGTCTTGTAATACATTGGGTAGAATGTACAAAAAAAAAATGAAAAAAAATACAAATATTACTGCTCAAGAAATGGAGAAACTTAAGATTGGTACTAACTCTTGCAGCATTCCAAAATCTATTCCCTATGAAAAATTAGAGATCATATTTTGTCCATTAAAGTACCTCCTCGACTGACTGAATACATCATCTTCATTTTTTAGATTGTTGTGTGGTATAAGATATTCAAACAACTTCTCATCTGAAAGAATGAGCTATCTTGCGAAACACACTGTTCTATCTCAGTTGGAACTGAAACCAGCACCAATTAATCATTATCTGGATTTTCCAGCATTCCCAATGAGGTGATATAAGGCTCCATTAGCAACTTGGATGGATCATTCATAACGACTTCACTGGATATGAGACTGATGTTCACTGTGCACCCCAATTCAGCCATTTTCTGTGATGAATGAAATTGGTGCAGAAAAAACTTTGTTGAAATATCAAAATAGAGGTTTCTCTGTGCCGTAAGAAAAGTATGGGATAAAAAATGCATCATTTAGAAGCTAATCCTTGTTTGCCACGTGGTTGATATAAGTATCCATAGTTTTGCGCTTTTAGGGACACTGACCATTTTGTAGCAATGTAAAATCGACTCCTTTGTTTTTGGAGATATTGAGAGGGAATTCAGCAACAATTTTGATCTGTGATTTTAGGGATTTATACTCAACTTCTTACATTGATACCACCCAAATCTTTCAGATTACATGAAAAAAACACATATCGTAAGTTCTATTGCATGCAATGGTGTGGCTGCAAAAATGTAATCCTTTTCAGGTGTTAGATATGTAAAAGCATAAGAATAGTGTGGTATGCATGTAAATTTTCCATTTCAAAATTTAGGATCAGCCTAACATTGAAGCCTCTTTCTTTCAGCATCATGCTGTTCTGTCATGTCTTTTGTTTGGTGATGTAGACTGTGCTTCTGTTCATATTTGAGGTCAATTGGATGTAATTAGATTAAGGGAGTTGGAGAGAAAGATATCTCTGATTAAAAACTTAAATATAATCAAAGCTTAAGATCAGTTTCGGAACAGCCTGGGAAAACAATTACAGTGAATGCAAGCTACAGCAGTAATAAGATAGTACATCAGCAAAGCTACATGCATAGCACACAATTCCTATGTATTTACATATTTAAACTTTGCTTTTTAAATTTGTATCACCCAAATTATTCATAAAGCATAAAAATTACCACAATTTTAACTTTTACAAGTGAAATACGCCTTTTTATGCATTATGAATGTGCTCTGTTTGTGAAAGTTGAAGTATAGATGTGTTGACCTCATTTTTGGTGAGGTCTAGTCCTCCTCTTAGGGTTTAGGATCTAGCCTTAGGGATCTTCCTTTGACTATCTTAAAACCTTAGAAATGGGACCCGCCTTGTTCTAGAAATTAAACCCGCTTCTGTACTCTTTTGTGGTTCCGTGTGGGTGGTATCGACTTCTAGCATTTAGAAGGGTGAAACCAACATGAGGAAACCCAAAAGAGATCCCTATAGGACCTTCTTGAGCCTTCGGGTGGCCTTTTGCACAATTCGCACTCCCGCGCGCACAAACTTCGCAATTCGGAGAGTTGACGCGTCTGATCGCCACGATTCGCTTCGTTTGCATTGTTATTCATTGAGGGCTCGAGTAAACCTATTGAGACGATCGATCGCGGGTCGAAATTTTGTGAAATTTGAATTTCGACGCTCTGCGCCTGCGCCTCCCCGGCGCCCACGGATGACAAAACGGACTGCACCGGCGCGTCCGGAACGTCAATTTTGCCCAGAGAGGACACCCATTTTGTTACGTCGCCGCGCGCGAGTAAATCGGGTTTTATTTAATATATACGAATTTTTAATATTTTATATATGACTGGGTCCCAAAATTTTGTAATAAAATTAATCTTAATGAGATGAAAATTTGAATTTGCACTTATACGTTCCTCACTTTCGTTCTAAATTTCACCAATTTAAATTAAAAAAAAAATGCTTGCACCTTTATAATTCTAAAATCTACTTAATAATACTCTGTTGTTCTTGTTCGTTTTGGATTTCCCCTTTCCCTTTCTCGGTCTCGAGCCGAGCGAGCTCCACCTCCTCCACGCGAGAGAAAGTTGACTTCTTATTCGTCCTTGCCCGACACTCTCTGCCCGCGGCCTTCCTTCCCGAAACCGCGCCAGCCGCTCTGTGCTGTGGTTTTCCTTTTCTTGGTAGTTTGACTCTGGGAAGCTGGTTCCCTGGTACACTGGAATGACATTTCTTCTCCTCTTCCCAATGCTTCCCTCGTTGCCATTAGTCTCGCCGCTCAGTCCGAGAGACTTCGTTGGCCTCGCCTTCTGTGGGCAGGAAGCGTCCCTTTTCTTTTTGGCCCGATTCGAGTGTCGTGGACCGTTGGGGGTGGTCTTCTTTCTCTTCTCCTCTATTCTCTGCCTATAAGGATAGTTCCTTTGGATTTTTTTTCGGTTGTTGGAACAGTTTTCTGAGAGGAGAGTAGAAATTTTGGCTGTGAGGAGTTTAGGAAGAGAATTTCTGTGAAAGCGTTTCTTTGAGGCGAATTCTTATGTTGCAGTGCTTTTACATTGGCGTTAAGGAGGTACCATTCTTCCCCCCTCTTCTTCGGTGCTCTGTTTCTTTTCGGTTTTCCTCTCTGCCGAGTCTTTGAACTTGGCTCTGTTGGATGATACGGCATGCTAGTTCACTTTACTTTCATACATTTTTGAGGTATTCACTTTAAGAGCATGTGAAAGATGAAATGTGAGCATGATTTAAGATTTAGATTTGAATATTTGCTTAAAATGATGGAGATATGACACGTTTTCTGTTTATCATATCATGTTTATGTTGGAAACATTTAGGGAATTAAGGCATGACTTTGAAATGATTTTTTTGCTCCTCCTGCAAGCATGCTGGGGTTTCGGCTTTGGCATCTTATGACTTGTTATTGCTTAAAATGAATGCTAGGGAGTTCACTTTACTTCTTATACATATGTGGGAGCTCGGTTTAGTTCCTGTGGCTTTCCCTAGCTTGAAATATATGTTATAAGAAAACTTGTTTAATTTGGAAAGCCTTGTATCTTGTTTTGAGAATTCGACTTAACTCTTCATGAGGCATCTCCCATGTTCATATATTTGTTGGAATAATTTCATGCTTAGAATATTAAGACATGCAGGTTGGTTCCTTGGCTTTGGATGGCTTGTTGGTTTTACCTTCAGGCGGGGTTTTACCTTCAGGCGGCTGAAATTTTAATTTTTGTTAAAGCCTAATTTATATCAATGCTTGGGCCTGTTTTAATCTCGTTGAGCTCTGGCTTTGGCTTTGGTTTTCATCGGTTTGGCTCTGGTTGGGGGCTGGCTTTTGGTTTGTCTCTTGTTTGGGGCTGGCTCTGGTTTTGGTTTTGATTGAGCTCGGTTTGGCTCACCGAAGAAATACTCCGTCCAAAGCGTCATTCCAGAAAATGATATTAAACAAATGGTTGAACAAGTTAAGGAGGCCTTAACCAGTCTAGGGGTGGTAAATTGATTTAAAGGGTAGACCTTACCCGGAGGAGTTCGATGTAGTACCCTACCCCAAAGATTTTGTGTCACCGAACTTTAAGTTATTTGACGGGATTGGATATCCCAAACAGCACATAGCACATTTCCGAGCCAGTTGTGGCAATACAAGAAATAACGAAGCTTTGCTCTGTCAACAGTTCGTCAGCAGTCTGTCAGGAGTTGCTTTTGATTGGTATGTCGAGTTGCTCAACGGGTCGGTGAAGACATTCAACGAGTTAGAACTGCTGTTTGTAAAAAGATTTGTCGGAGCACAACACCACGTTTCTATTGGAGATCTCGTGGTAGAAAGACAAGAGCCTAACGAGACTCTAGTAGATTATATTTTGAGGTGGAGAAACCTTAGCATGAAATGTGAACCTCAGTTGCAGGAACATCATGCGATTGAAATTTTACTCAAGAACATCCATGGGCCAGTAGCTTTTATGCTTAAGGGACTTACTATCAAGTCTTTCGAGAAGTTACTCAACAAAGCTAGCAATCTGCAAGAAGAAGTCGAGCATATGAATTCTCATGAGAAGGCCGAGAAGTCCAGGATAACCAAGATATTCGAGAAGAAATCTGGGACAGTTGTTGTGGTTAGCAGAGGAAAACGACAATTGCAAATAGAAGCAGAACAACGCCAACAAACCTTCCAACATCCTCGTCAGAGTATTCAGCAATCATCTCAGCAGAGGCCTTACCAGACATATGAAAGACAAGTTTCAATCATGAACACTCGATCAAATGGGATCTATTGGTCAGGAAGGCCCGCGGGCCCTGCTTTTCCGGGTTTTCCCGATAGGAGTTTTTTGAGAGCTGATCCAGTCTTCTTTTTTCGTTGTTTTAGATGGATCAGTGTCTCCTCTCTCTCACCCCATTTTTGTTCTTTTATTTCCTTGCTTCTTGGTTCGGTTTTCGACACTTATGTACGATGCATAAGTGTCCACGTATAGCATTTTGCTATACGTGAAACCATCAAGCAAGGTCGCAATTAGTCGTTTTGGGGCGTATAGTGTTGATGATAAAGGCACACCGAAGATAGAGCAGAAAGATGCCCTATCCTATAACATCAAGATTCAGGCATTTGATGAATAATAGGATATGGTATCCTTCACCGACATAAGTCTAGCGAAAGTTGGCTCGAATCTCCTCAGTCGGACGGCGATCACACGCTCGACAGCGTAATCAACTCGTGGACAACAAAAATTTCTAAAAAAAAAAAAGATAAGTTTTGATAAACCATTTTCAAACAAAAACATACTTTTCTACGAAACGAAAATTGATAACTCTTCTTTGCATGTTTAAAATTTGTATGCATGTTAAAAACATAAAACGTACTTTAAAG